TCTAAAGCACGTGCACAAGTTGCTTCAAGATCAGAATTGCGAGCCAGGTCAGCTACACGGGGCAGCTGTCGGCCAGAGGCAATATCGTCTGCAATGCTTTGTGCCTTGCGCAAGTCAGGACTCCCGGAGCCTGACCAGGTGTGAGAGGCCCAGGCCTTAGGAACCCAAGCGCTTGTCGCAAGACCACAACGAGCTTCACGCATTCTGCGAACAAGCGTGTTTGGCAAGAAGTTGAAGCAGGGCGGTCCGTACTTGCTCCCTTCCGGAACACCATCAGCTACTGTGGCAACAGACTCGCCACTTAGCGCAATTCGCCAGAAGTCGCACTTCATGACCGAAGCTAGTAAAGCGAAGGCCCCATCTCGAATACCTGCAGTGTGCCGAGCCTCAACCAAAAGCAAGTCCCGCCATGCCCTCGGAAACGCGTGAACGAAGTCAGCAAAAATGACAAACAAAGCGCGACGCCAGCACTTGTAGTCATCTTGAAGGACAGAGAGAGTGAGATGATGATGCAAAACATCAAACCGATAGCCAGTTTGAACGAAATCAAAAGATGAGTGAATGACAGGGCTGATCCTTGACATGAGGATTTCTTCTTGAAGAAGACCGTGCAGCTCAGCCACTCCTAGAAAGCGGAAAGACGATTCGTGACAGACAGGCCCCTTCTTATGCTTGACAATAAGAAAACGATGCCTCCACAAGGCTGGCCGCCAGGCAAGGCATGATGGCCCGCATACTTGTTGCAGTTTCCAAGCGGCATGACACCACTCATTAGTACCACAAGCTAGCAAAACTCGATGTGAAAGAAAAGGCGTGACAGCGCGTGATGACTGGATGTTTGCAGCAGCCCTGTACCACTCAGAGAAGTCAATCTCAGCATCCCAGGGTCCCTCACCAATGTGTGCACGAGCTTGACGACTATACTCCTGCGCGCGGCGGCAAACCTCAGAATGGAACTCAGCATTGTAGCTAGTCGGCCACTTTCCCTGCGTAAATAGCTGGGAGATCCATGCCTCATGGCTTGCTGCCCTTGTCAGCAGGCGTCCATCGTGGTTTAGGCGTTCTGGCGGTTGAGGACGCGCA